ACAAACATTTTCTTTCAGCCTACCCGCCCCCGCGCCTGCTATCAAGCGACGCGAAGAGACATTCAGGGCTGCCCTCCTAGAAATAATTGTGCAATCTACTATGCAATTTCCAGTGCAACTGACTGATCATTGTGATATCCACTATGGCACGCATCGATTAAAGGTTTGGCTTGAGAAACCACCATAAGTTTGTTTTTGTTGTTATTTTACTTGTGACTTGTCCTAGTGGCGTCTTTAATCTGGAGACAACAGTGTCTTCAGCCTATACCTTATTTTCTCCTCATAAATCGGATTCCACACATTGCAGTAAACTGTGCGATAACTTAATCCAAGTGTGATTGGGGTCACGACTACCGGTGGGGTCTCGCGTTTCAGGTGGTTAGACAAACTGGCTGTACTCAGGGCTTGCCTTCGTCTTTGTGAGTTCGAATCCCATCAAAACCACTCGGATTGTTAAAATTCGATCAAATAAGAAATTCAAATTTACTTTAAATGAATTGGTTCTAGTCCTGCAACGTTGCCCAATATCGTCTTAAGTCTGGTCAACTGTTTTGAATAATGTAAACCTGTTCATGCTTGAACAAATCGCACGATCGTGAATATGCATACTCGCAGTTGCATAGTTTAATTAAAATATATGCCGATTTTATCGACAGAAGCTCCTCTTGGAAAGTAGTTAGATGTAAAAAATGCTACAATTACATAGATTATGCTAGACTGTGGATTTCAGAAAATCGAGCCTATAGAACCTTGTCTATTTGACGTCTCTCTCTTTATCACACACCCATACGAACGGAATTGCCGTTTCCTCAATGGCTAGACGCCATGCTAAGATATGATCTACTGTCCTCCTTTAACAGAAAACACGAATTTTGTCTTGACAGTTTATGTATCGTTTTTTTTTTGTCATCAGTAACTCTGTGCTGAAGTTGCAAAGTCACAGAAGTTTCTAGAAATCTGATCACTTTGCTTAAAATGACTCGATTTCAGGCTTAGCAAATAAACCCAAAAGTTACAAACTGAAGCAAACGAGCAAATCGCTAGTTGGAACTTCGGTTCGACTTTAGGCTTACAGTGCACCTGATAGAGTCTGTTGTTGGACCGTCTGCGTTGTTTTTGCGTGCATGTTCGATCGCAGATTGTGGTCGGAGTTGTGATTAGACGAGTATAGACGGAATGAGCACTGGCTTCGCCTATCCGCAGTAATGTCATCACCCCCTATACACCACCATTTGACCGTTGTTGCCAACGAGGTCCATCGTGTGCTTCACAGCGAGGGGTCGGTGACTTGCGCTGTATCCACCGCACTGCCTGCTCACCCGCCCAACTGAATCCGGTGCCAAGACAGAGGCAAGAAGAGCTATGGTCGGAGAGGATGCAGGTGGTTGGCCAGGCGTGAACCTGCACCTTGGCGTGCCACCGCACCCGCCCATGTTGGACATTTGCTATAAGTGCGCATCCTCAATAAAATCTGCCCTGCTCTCATATAGCTCCCGTGTGACCCTACCGCCTGGCCCGTTGTAGAAGCAAATCCTCTTTACACACTCTAATGTTAGCAAGTGATTTTATTAATAATGGGGAGTGACTGTCTACTTAAATCATCCCCTCGAAAATATGGAAACATCGAGAAGCCTAATACCACCGAGTTTCGCCCTAAAATATACAACAGTGCAGATGATGACAAAGAAATGTGAAGGAGACTGTACTGAAAAGAGTTACTGTGCTAAGATTTACACGGCAAGGACGCTAACGGGTATGCTACTCCTAGAAAAAAAAAGACACGAAATGAAGGCGACACAACGCATAAACCGATGACGACTAAACGAAGACATGAACTGTAAACACGTCTAGTGAGACACGGCTAACCTGCATTCCTTTTTTCAGAGGTATTTTTCTGATTTTCTTCCAATGCCTTCGGTAAGACCATAATGGGCAATCCGAAAAAATACCGGGAGAAGGCTTCCCCTTCACTAACCTCTTCTCACGAATCCCACTTTTGCAACCTTTCAGCCCGAAGACAAAGACGTCCTCAAGCAGACACAGCTGATGGAGCTTGCCGTGCTGAATGGTATAGTTTCTAGCCCCCGCTCTGCGTGTGTGCCCCCTTCTAACTCTTAATCGATTGCTTGCGCTAAAGTTTTCGCTGCTGCTGCTCTTCCTGCTGCCAGTGTCACCGCATTTTTTTGCTGCACAGGTTCCCACGAAAAAAACGGCGAAAAACGTAATTAATTTATACGCTTAGGCCTTCGCCACCTAATGACCTTGTTTTCTTTATCGCTTTTTGCACAACCAAATGAAATTGCTGCCAAGGTTCACGCGCTGTTGCCCAGCGTTCGCGTCTGACAGTCACTGGGAGCCAGCGGAGGATCAGCTGATCACCGCTACTTTTAAACACACATGTTTTGCCGTTTTGCTCGTTTTGACTAGAACTTGCAGGTTTTTTAGACTTTGCCTGCCAGAGTTTTCTGAGTTAATATTTTCCCCCCTGTTTTCTGACTGCATCCAGTGCGTATGTGTGTGTGTGTGTGTGTGTGTGTGTGTGTG